CTTAATAGTGTAGCATAGTGTCCTTTCCTGTTATACAGTTGTATTGCTTTTTGTGTCAGTAATATCTAATTGTAAATAAAAGATGGTTATGTGTATTGTGTACTTTTTATTAGTATAATTCACCTTAACAATGTAGAATAGTGTCCTTTCCTGTTATACAGTTGTATCACTTGATGTGTTACAAGTATTTAATGGTATACAAAAGATTGTGATGTGTATTGTGTACTTATTAATTTGTATGATTCACCTTAGTATTGTAGTATAGTGTCCTTCCAGTTATACAGTTCTATTGCTTGATGTGTTAGGAGTATCTAATTGTATACGAATGATGGTAATGTTTTTTATTTACTTGTCATTAGTATAAGTTACCTTAATAGTGTAGCATAGTGTGCCTTCCTGTTATACAGTTGCATTACTTCTTGTGTCAGTAATATCTAATTGCATATAAAAGAAGGTAATGTGTATTGTGTACTATTTTTTAGTATAATTCACCTTAATAGTGTAGAATAGTGTCCTTTACTGTTATACAGATGTATTGCTTGATGTGTTAGGAGTATCTATTCCTATATAAAAGATGGTAATGTGTATTGTGTACTTATTATTAGTATAACTTAACCTAATAGTGTAGCATAGTGGCCTTTCCTGTTATACACTGCTTTTGCCACTGCATGCTTTATCTAACATCTTTGTGAGGGAACAATAATAATAATTAAAATGTTGTTATGTCAAATTTTCTACTGTCCTTAATGATTTTGAAATGAAATTGAAACCTAAGTGGAGAGAATGGAGATATTCAATTTAGTTTTTATATGTGTAGAGATCAACTGATTAAGTGAAGCAGGTTACATGTAGTGATGCATATATGTGAAGAGAGATTGAGATCTGTATTGAGTGAAAGTTCCTACGTGTAGTGATGGATGTACATGTAGAGATCGAGACATGTATTCAGTGACAGTTCCTACTTGTAGTGATGGATGTACATGTAAAGAGATCGAGACCTCTATTGAGTGAAAGTTCCTACATGTAGTGATGGATGTATGTGTAGAGAGATAGAGACCTGTAATGAGTGAAAATTCCTATGTGTAGTGATAGATGTGTGTGTAGAGAGATCAAGACCTGCATTGAGTGAAAGTTCCTTCGTGTGGTGATGGATGTACGTGTAAATGCTGGAGAGGGTGATATAGGAGGGATGAAAGAAGACAGAAATAAATGAGTAATATAGAAAGGAAGAGAGACAGAGAAAAAGAGTTCTCCAAAAAAAAGTGGAACAGAATGAGAGTTCAGAACAGGGTGTGTACTTAGAAGTGACACATACAGCGAGAGATGAACTTCAGTCAGAAAGTGTGTGGGAAGAGATGACACTTGTGAAACATGTTGTAGAAGATAGAACCACACTTAAAGAGAGTAGGAAATCTAGAGAGTGCTTTAGAGTAACTTCACTCGCAAAACGAGAGAGAATACACCAGGTACATGTGAAGGGCTAACAAAAATTTTTATTAAGTGCAGTTAATAACATGGGTTTACCTTATGAGATCGAGAAAGTTCTGAGACAAAGAGGGCACTGCACACACAAGTCGATCAGAAAGACTGGCAGTTGTGACCAACAAGGCCACATTTACTGCTGCTTCCTCCTCCTTTTAGGTGCTGGTGGAACACCCATACTAGTCCCTGCCAAAGATGGTGCTTCAGGTGTATGGTGGGCTGATGATGAAGGCTTTGCAACAGAAGGCAAGGGGCATGTTTTGTTCTTGCTGTTGTCTGGACAAAAATTCCTATTTTTTTATATAATTACCACTGCCTTTCTGCTGATAACCCCTTTGGTAGTACTACCTTTGGCAGTGTATCAGAAGAAGGCAGGGTAACATCATCTCTCAATAAACTTACTTTTCCAATGCTACTTTCTATTGATTTTTGAGCTAAGAAGTCTCCCTGCAGTTGTCAATCTTTCTCCAGTGTGAAATGGTGCATCTTTTTTTATCATGTCTATGCACTTAAAAAAACATTGCAGAAAGCCCGTCCAATCAAAGCATTGCACAAAAACCTCTTCTGTGCTAGATCCAACCTATTGGGAAACATTCACTACTGCAGATTCATAAACAACTTTAGCAATATCCTCCAAGAAACCTACTGCAATCTTCCTAAAAAGCTGTTTGATGAGCCCAAAGCACCAGTCTGGTGAAAACTTAGTATGCCCAACTGGAAGGAAGGAGATCTTGATAGATTAATTCCTGTGTGTCAGTACTCTCCCGGCCAAATATTGAATAAGAGTATTATTCTTATTTTGACCTGTACAGTTGTCAGCATTGAGATGGATCATACTACCATTGATGCCATGGTTTTCAATGTAGTGATAGACATAGCTGACAACAGTATTTGCCCCGTGTCCCTTGCCTTATTCACTAGGTATGTAAACTTCCTGGGGAATGCTTTACGGCAAACCCCAAACAAGCCACATTTCCTTGGTGTTAAGAAGTAGATGGGACCAGGCTGCAATAGATCACTGGGGTAATGCACCTGCATTTATTAATTTTAGGATAAAGATGTGTAAGGATACTTACTGACTTACTTGTTGTGCGTAGTGAAAGCTATAGTGAACTTCGAGCTCCACTTGGTTCACTGGCCTTTTGATGGTTAGGTTCAGCTTTTTGATGGCACCTATAGTCCTCTTCAACACTTCCCTGAAATAATCTCTCTGCCGCCTTACAAGATAAATATTCTCCTTTGCAGCTACTATTGCCTATGAAAACATCAAACATTTACTGACACATCAAGCAATACAACTGTACAACAGTGAATGACACTATGCTATGCTACTAAGGTGATTCATACTGATAATAAGTACTCAATACACATTACCATCTTCATTTACCATTAGATACTCCAAAGACATCAAGCAATACAACTGTACAACATTGAAGGACACTATCCTATGCTACTAAGATGAATTATACTAATAATAAGCACACAATACACATTACCATCTTTTATATAAAATTAGATACTCCTAACACATCAAGCAATACAACTGTATAACTGTAAAGGATGCTATACTATGGTACTAAGGTGAATTATACTAATAATAAGTTCACAATACACAATACCATCTTTTTCATGCAATCACATACTCCTAACACATCATGCAATACAAGTGTATAACAGTAAAAGACACTATAATATGGTACTAAGGTGAATCATACTAATAATAAGTACACAATACACATTACCATCTTTTTTTACAATCAAATACTCCTAACATATCAAGCAATACAACTGTACAACAGTGAAGGGCACTATGCTACGCTACTAATGTGAATTGTACTAATAATAAGCACACAATACACATTACCATCTTTTATGTACAATTAGATACTCCTAACACATCAAGCAATACAACTGTACAACAATGAATGGCACTATGCTATGCTACTAATGTGAATTAGACTAATAATTACACAATACACATTACAATCTTTTATGTAAAATTAGATAATCCTAACACATCAAGCAAAACAACTGTACAATAGTGAAGGACACTATTCTATGCTACTAAGGTGAATTATACTTATAAGTACACAATACACATTACATTCTTTTAGATACTCCTAACACATGAAGAAAAAGTACTGTGCGTTCATGTAGTATCATTATTCTTCATCTTAAATGTAACATGAAAATAACAAGTTAACTAAAAACAAAGTTATTGACTAAGTGATAGTATTTTAAAGGCAAGAATAATTACATTATTAAGAATGTTAAATGTGCCTCGGACTGACACTCAGTCTCAAACCCAACATTCCGTAAAATTGTAGTGCTGTTTTTCTTGCATGTCCAGCATAATTCCATCATTGGCTTGATGCTGTTAATGTAGGGAACATACTTTCTCCATATTCTTTTAACCCTTTAATGACCATTGACGCATTAACGCGTCATTAATTAAGTGCAATTGAAAAACAATTGACGCTTCAACACGCTTCAACACATACACATTCAACACATAGCAACGTTGTTATTAGAGGCCCGCAGGCATCAAAGCTCTCAGCTGTCTTGTGGTCACTGAAGTGTAACTGTGTGTGGGTTGCTGTTACTACCATACCTGTTAATCTTGAGTGCTTTCCTGTAGGGTTTCAACCAGTTTCTTTAGAAGGTATAACAGCATTGCATCATTAAAATAATACATTATATGTGACCATAATTGACAAAAGGTACATTATGGCGGGTAGTGAAATTTGTCTTTCTAGCCTAAGAAATCCAACTTCCTGAGCCCCATTTATCATAAAATCACTCCACAGGATGCAAAAAGTTACCATGAAACTTTTAGAAACAATGATTGCCTAACAAAGCACTCACAGGTTGAAATTTTCAATTATAACAATCAATTTTAAAATCCGCCATAAGGGCCCTTTTGTCAATTATGGTCACATATTGTTAAAAAATAAAGAGCTAAAATGACAACATATTCAAGAGAGGAAGTACTAGATATGCTTGATGATGATAATCTTGAAGTAGATGACTTGGAAGATATAACATGAAGAAAGTGATGAGGAATATGCTTATTGTATGGAAGATGACTTAGATATAGAGAATGATGAGGTTGCTGTAGAGGACAATGACTGTGATGTAGACTTTGATGTTGAATCAGATGACGAGGAGGATAAGCAGGACGATGAAACTGTAATAATTGACAACAGTGATATTACTGATATTGAAAATGATGACCTTGATAATACTATCAAGTAAGGTATCACAGAAACATGAAATAATGATTATTACACTAAGGTACAATTCTTCAAATGTTGAATGGACATCACACCTAAAACCAGTAGTCATAAAGCCTTTCACTAGTGATGTTGGTCCTCATACTATCTTACCACACTTAGCAATTGGTCGGTTTGAATTGTTTTTCACGTCATCCATAATTCCAAACTTTGTGGACCAAACCAATCTGTATGCATCTCATTGTATGTCACCAGAAAGTTTTCAATCATGGGAAAAGGTATGTCAAGAGGAGATAGAGGCATTTCTTGGCTTTAAAATACTGATGGGGTTAGTCAAATTACCATCACTTTTGGACTATTGGAGTAAAGATGAGACTTACCCACTATAATGCTATTGCAAGCCGTATATCTAAAAATCGTTTGAGATTCGCAGATACTTACATTTTGCCAACAACAGCACACTTTCACCCCCAGGATCACCATATTACAACAAGTAAAATAATTATTCTCATCATTACTACCTAAAAATAGACTAGGGAAAGTGCAGCATATTCTAAACATGATTAGAGATAATTTCACTATCCCTTATAATCATGGTAGAGATGTCAGCATTGATGAAGCCATGATTCCTTTCCAAGGGAGGTCAACCCACAAGCAATATATGCCTATGAAGCCCATAAAAGGGGGGTTAAAGGTATGGACATTATCTAACGGGAAGACAGGATATGTAAGTCAATTTGAAGTCTACACAGGAAAGAAGGGTAATTCAGTAGAGAATGGACTAGGAGCATCTGTTGTAATGAACTTATCGAGCCATCTAAGAAACAAGTACAGAAACGAAACTTCATCAAAACATGTAATATCATAACATGTTTACTGTAATAGGTATCATCAAGTCTATTTTGATATTTGATAACTTTTTTCCAGTGTCGCTCTTTAATGCAATCTTCACTCATTGGGATAGTATGGATGTGGGACTTTGAGGAGCAAATGTAATTGATTTCCAAAAGACTTGAAATCATTTGTCAAGATAGGACTACCTGATAGAGGAGACAGTAAAATACGACAATGTGATGACCTAACTGTATATGTGTGGCAAGACAGCAAGCCAGTTGTGGCAATAGCAACGAATTCTGACCTCCTGGAAATCACCTCAGTCCTGAGATAAAGTAAAGATGGGATTTCCAAAAGACTTGAAATCATTTGTCAAGAAAGGACTACCTGATAGAGGAGACAGTAAAATTCGACAATGTGATGAACTAACTGTGTCTGTGTGGCAAGATAGCAAGCCAGTTGTGGCAATAGCAACGAATTCTGACCCCCTGGAAATCACCTCAGTCCTGACAAAAAGTAAAGATGGGAGTAAAAGTAAAATTGACTGTCCACAAGCTATAAACTTGTAGAATAAGTACATGGGGGAGTGGACAGAAATGATCAAATTTGTGGCTTTTGTTTTGTATGAATGAAAGGAAGAAAGTTCTACAGATATATTTTTTGGTTTCTATTCGATGTTTCCATTACAAACGCTTACTTTCTTTGTCGATACCACACTTCATTAACTGTCAACTGTGTCAAAAAGTTTCGCTCAGAGCTAGCTTGGGAATTGATTGGATCATTCAACAACAGAAAGCGTCGTGGACAACCTCCAACAACTGTCATTATATGATTTTGTAGCAGTCATTTCCCTGAAAATTTAAATCAACTTTTACGATGTCATCATTGCTACCACAAAAAGAAACGACACGAAACTGTGTGGATATGAGGATTGTAACGTACCTCTCTGTCACATTAGACTTGAAGATGACTACTTTCTTCTGTTCCACAAGTCACTGTAAACAACAGACATGATAGTATTATAAACTTACACAGACCCAAAACACAGAAACAGATAACTGGGATATAATATACAATAATAATAATGTGCTTATATAAGTCATCCACCATGATAAACAAAAACTACTATACAAATGATACACAAGCATACTGACAAACAAGTAACACAAAAACACTTACCAACACAAGTCACACATACAATACTGACAAGATTATCTAAAAAGATTATCTACAGCCTATTGATGCATCTTACATAGACAGACAGATATCTCAGTATCAGTTTTCATTATATAATATCATAATACGCATCTAAAAGACAATCATTATGGCTTACTTGTTTCTTGACTGGGTGAAGACAGTGACAATAGGTCATTTTCCATCCTTTCACACAGCTTTCACTACAGGCAAACTTGCAGCATGGATGCTTGTAGCTAGGTAATACTGTACACTGCAAGAGCATGCAATAACCACGCCCATAAACCACATTCCATTCTAAACATTTTTCAAAGATGCTCAAAAAGGCAGCGAAGTACTGTCATTCATTAACTTTCCGGAATATTGCACAAAAACATTATTATTATAACCAAAAGGAAGTTTCACAGCCTAAAATAAAACTACTATGATGAAAAAGAAGCTTTCAACCTCTGCCTTTTTTGAAGCCACACCCACCAATTGTAGCAATTATAGTATAGTGCAAAAAAAGGCTAAGTAGCTGCACAGTAGATGCTCTGGATATTACCAGCGAAGTACGGTCTTGATTCGCATTAATGCCACTCCTCCTATCTTGAATGTAGAGTACACGTAGAGTAGGTGCGGTCTACATGTAGCAGGCTTCAAGTGTACCACGTGAGTCAAAGCACCTCGTGCTAGTACTGTACTCTACTCTACCATTGACTGCTCTTTTGCACAACGGTACTACTTACAGCCTGGCCAGGATTTCAAGATGAGCGTTAGGCAGCCCAGAAAGTAGATGGCAGATGTTATAAAACGTAAGTGGTTTATTTTAGGCTGCCCGAGCAGTTACAACTCTGCTGTTTCCATTAGCTATGGTGTATTTGGTCTACCTTAAAGACAATAAAACAGTCTCCATTAGTGATGCTCGGGATATCGTTAAAGACTTTTCTGGGTTGGAAGGTGGCAGCCTATGTCATGTGAAGGTTAGGACAAAGATTTTCCAAGCTACGGTGGTCACATACGGTTAGTTAACCATGAGCTGATGCATAGTGAGGATTGCAAAATCGTTTCAGTTTTAATGCTATCCATTCATGTCACATGTATACCGTATGAAAGGAAATTTTGGAGGGACTAAAATTTTGGCGAATTGCTAAAATTTTGGTGATTGGCTAATTTGTAGCCATGTGTCATTGAGCATGCGCATAATGGCTCAAAATGGTGAATTTCTATTTTGGCAAATGGCTATCAAAATGCCGAATTCGCCAAATTTAACTACATCCAAAATTTCCTTCCATATGGTATATACTGATTATGTAGGCTCAATAGAAGAAGTGAGAAATGTTGAGGAGCAATTTGTAAATAAGATCTACAATCCAGAATTTATTGTAGAAGCCGATGATGATGGTACTGAAAGGAGTGGTATTAGTACCAATAAAAATGACCAGGCACTAATGAACAATGCAAATAGTAGTGATCTTGAAAAAAATACTGTAGTGATGAAGACAGCTACACATAATTGCTCAGCAGTGAAAAGGAAATCTATTGATAAACGCGAGGCAAAATTAATGTACATGATATAGCCAGGAGAAAATGATAATTTTTATTATTGAAGATTCATGAAGGTATTGTAGTTGAGGTTTCTTTTAAGTTCAAAGTTTAACAATATAGTTGCTTTAAATTTAGTAAAGTATAATTATATCAATAAAGTAATTATGGACTATACTGATTTATTGTTCTTATTTAGAACAAGGAAAGTAATCTAAGAAAAGTAGAAGTGCAAAACGAAAATAAAGTGTTAAACAGATAAAGAAGAAAGAGTTAAACGGTTTGTTATTAATTTGATAGCAATTTGCATTACATAGGTTACACGTATGGAGCAAAAACTTTCCGTTACAGTTGTTGCTGCATCCGCTAATTCACAAAGTGATTCCTCTACTGCTTCATTTGGGCTACCTTCTGAAACTAAAACTGCTGTATCCTCTGCAGCTTTTTATATCCTAGACCTGTTACATGTGTTTCAAAATCAGCTCATGCTATTGCTACATCCAAACCATGCACTGTCTTAAATTTATCAGTGTCTTCAAGTAGTAGTAGTGGCTTGAATCACCACCACCTGTACCTCAACCTATTGGCACAAATGGTCCAGGTGATTATCCCGAATAGTAATAATTATTGTAATTTTTGATGCCTGCCATTAATTTCTATGTTACTTTAACATGCATTCTGAAAGAGTACACCCTAATGTATACTTCAATATATTTGTATGCATATTAGCTTTTAATATGTATAATATGCAATGTCTGCTTGTTTGCATACATGTAGTATGTCATTTATAGAAATAGTTCACTTTCTTATGGTTCGAGTTGACAAATTGGAAAAACAAAGCCACTTCTTGATTCTCGGTGTAACTACATTATGTCTCAT